CCCCCCCCCCTCTTCCTCGTTCTTACTCGATGATAATTTTCTCTCTTTCTTCGAATATAATCGTTGCCGAATCTATAAATGTCTATAATACGTTTCTAATCACTTTTTTGAGAAAAGTTAAGTCGCCGGTGCTGGATCAATGGTTTTCGTTAAAATATTATCTCGTGCGTTTCACGTGTTTATTCGCCCCTCCCTGTTGTCGTCCCTGTTACTCGTACTCCTGTCACTGCGACTAGCCTAACCTCGTTTATATTCTATCAATTAATCGTTAATAAAAACATCTCTAATGTAATTTATTTTTGTTTTTACGCGAAATATTATACGTGCATCGTTTCTCAACTTTTCTTTTTTCCCCCTTCAGTAGCAACGCGAGTTGTTCGTCGCTTCTCTCCGTTCACGATCGCGTTCTCCTGCTCTAGCGAGAGCGAATCTCGAAGCCGAGAAAAATACAACGACAGAGGAGATTTTGTTTTCCCGTTGCTAAGCTAAATCGACGTCTCCTTCGCGATCACGAGCAATCGCCGGAATCGCGTCCGCGTTCCGCTCGAAGTTCGTCCTCCGAATATGGAATTTTCGAGGCTTTCACCGGTTAGGAATATTTACCGTTGGATGTAATTCTATTCTTTTTCCTCTCTTCTTTTTTTTCAAATTTCCGAATAGTAGAACCAACCATACGATTTCCAAAGCGATTTCTGCGATTTTTCGTTTTTGTTTTTTGCACTATCAGACGAAAATCTTACTCGTACAACTTAAGAGAAAGGACAGCCTTTCGTACACGGGGATAGCCTTCCCGTGCTACTCTAGCCATCTCTATTTTTCTAACGTTACTTCCGCTGAGGAAAAGAACATCGGGTTTTCGTTCCCGTTTATTCGTCGATTCGGTACGAATCGCCATCCTAGGATTCTCGTTGGAAACAACAAATCGTTCAGGCTCTCGCTCGTCTTGGAGCCAGTTTTGCTGCAGTGATCGCGTAGTATAGAAACTAATGCTACCGAGACAACGTTCGACGGGGGAATGGTGCGTTCGATCGAATCGCGAGATGTTTGGCGCCGTTCGAAAGGAAAGAAATAGAAGAAAACCACGAGGTACGCAGCGTGAC